ATCTCAAGCATTTCCTTCTTCATTTCAGATTGCGCCAGCGAAAAAGCTGTGGGGAGTGGAAGAGGGGAAAACAGACAACAAGGGGATTTTCAACATAGGTGAACCCACTTGGAGAGAAGCAGCATGGAGCACAGGACACCCAACAGGTGCGTAGACAGACAACACCTAGCGATTGATTTTTTGTCCCTCATGAAAATTTCAAGTGGGTATTATTTGAAGTTGATGCATGTCACATCTGACGCAGCGACCTGACGAATCCTCCTTCCAACAGACCACGGAGTGGGACAGAGCCACGGGTTGAGTATGGGTGTGGGGCAGCGAGGCCCCGGACGTCCACAGTTCCCCGGGGGAGACTCCGTGCTGTCCCCGCGCGCTTCGGACCACGCCGGTGTGGGGCTCAAGATGGTCGAGTACGTGTTGGCGTCCTCACCCACAGGCAAGGACCTAGACGCTCGCATGGCCAACCTGCAACTCAGAGTAAGTATCGAAGACTCTTCTGGACGTCTTATGAAATGGTTTTGATAACGTAACATGAGTCTGCTACGTCCTTGGAATGTATATTAGCGTAATTAATAGACATTATTTTTAATATTTTGCTTCCTGTGTATATGTTCTTGTAATTGCTGTTTCTGCAATTGCCTCTCTTCCCCTTCACTTTTACTGTTATATTTCTTTCCCTTCTTTCCCTCTACTTCCTACTCTGCCAAACTCTCGGTTTATACTATGCCTGGCCCTCGGTTGAAACTTGCCTAGCGGTCGATTTATGCTAATGAATATGGTAGCAATCGGTCATGACATCCCTCGATTCATGTAGACTTTTGTTTATTCATGTATCCATTAGTTAAATCAGTAAATTCAGACGTTGAACCTTTCTCTCTTGTCCATATTCTATCAGCAGGGAATTCGAAAAAGGTAAAGAAAGTGCGGAGAGCCGCTTACAGTATTCACACGGTTTTAGATTTAATTCATATTACTGTGTAACATGACAATTTTGTCCCAAAATGGACAAAGAAATTTGAAGTTAAAAAATCGAGAGAGAACTAAGGTGGTCGCTGTTAGGATCAAGTGCCGTGCTGTAGCAAAGTGTTGTGCTCGGTATTTCAGTTTTTTGGTCATCTTACACAAAGAATAGCTGTAAAGTATGATGAATCGTCGGCTGATATTACAATGGAGGCGACGTAGTATATATATTAGTCCCGTAGACATAGGCATGTTTCTCTGTAGATCTGAACGGCTGTTACTCAATTCTTCTCAGATTCTGTCCGACGTTGACGAAAGAGGGGCATTAAAAGACCTCATAGATGCCCCTTGAGAAACGAAAAAAAGGTTTGCTGTCAGATAAGAATCGGGTGGGTGTCAAGGATTGTCAAGGGGTTTCGACCACGGCTATTGGTCGTCCTTCCCGAACTTCCTTGAAGGGATAGGTGTTTAATTTCCATATCAGGACCAACAGTGGACTGCAAATCACGTACTGTGGTTAAATTTCCAGAATTTTTCGTGTCAGAGTATGAAGTATTGGATTAAAGATAAGGATAAATGGCAAGCTTGCGTCTCCTTACAGATCACATGAGTTTGTCACAACTAATCTTTTAACACCTTTACTCCCCACTTCTTTTTTACATCATCGCCCCTTGTGAGCTGTAACATTGTGTTCAGACACTTATGAAATTACATTTTTACAGAACGGTGGTGTAGAGACGAGCAAGGACAAGAAAGATAAGGCACCGTCACCTTTCGACCCCACAAAGAAGGACGTAGAGAACGGCAACGCCCCACAGGCGAACGGCATCGTGCAGAACGGCCTCGATGACGACAAAACTTTTAAGTAAGTCTCTAATGTGAACGGTTGTAGTCGTACTTCTCATTGCATGCGTGAGGGACGACTTGCGCGTTGCCTCGGCTGTGGCTGTTCCCTTCCAAGTCCTGATTTCTAGAATTTTGCAGGACGGTCGTAAATTAACTTGAAAACTGCAGCGCGCCAGGTGCGTCCAAGGGTTTTCAGTTTCCTTTTCGAACTCCAGTTAATTAAAACGCGAGTGCATCGGCGTGTCCGACTCGTTTGTTTGCCACGCGATTCACGTTGGGAAAGTTAGGTTTCCTTCTCAGCATCTACCTTGTTGTAGTCACTATTTCCGTTCTCAAGGACTAGCCTACTCTTCATGTCAGAAAGGTGAAGCTGTAAAGTCTAATTGTACTTCTTTGTCATGGTCAGTTCTCAGTTGTAAATTATTATAAAAAATAGCTTTTATTATTTCATTTAACTCGTTGGTCTATAACCGCTTAAACACAGGAAATAACATAATTAAACCGCGGCAATGTGTTAAGTGGATAATGGAGTTCGCTAACTACATATGGGCTGTATGTATTACAAACGTGTTTGGATATAATTGTAGTTGCAGATGTTCCTGTAAGCCAAAACATTTGTGTAGAGAACTTTCTTAGTTTAAAGACATTGGCGAAAAGTAGTTGTCGACAGCTGATAATGCCACTGCGCAGCCCATGATGACCAACTTTGTCGGTAAATGTCTTTGATTTCGCTACACACTCCTACCCAAGTTCTGGTTATTGGTCTGGGAGAAGTGGAATCATACTCTTAATTAACGTGACATTTTTGTTGCAAGGACCGTTTTAAGCTTGCTTTACACAAGTCTATGGAACGGTTTTCATTGTGAATTATTTGGAAAAGCTGATTAACAAATGTTTGTACACGTGCTCTGTATTATGCAGCTGTATATGCACCAGTAATGATCTGTTTTGTTCGTTACCAAAAGTACATTACATGACAGTGAATTTAGGTTGCTGGACAATGGTTAGAATAAGTAAATTTCTTCGAAAACACGTGTCAAGGTGTACTTAATGATAGTAGTGTGTTACAATCTCACAGCCGGACGCCGGGCAGCAGACAAGGCTCACCATCGGAGGAGGACATCAACAAGAATGGTATGGTGACGGGCGTGGGTGTGAAGGAACCAGAACTCGTTGGGGGAGGTGTGGTGATGGGCGGTCCCAGTGCACAGGTCCTCGGACACCTTGACCACCCAGGGTTTGAGGGCGTGGGCGGCGGGGCTGTCGGCGGTGGAGCTGTCGGAGGCATGGGCGGACCCGCGGGCATCCTTGACCCAAGTATGAGCGGCGCGGGCGGGCCGTTCTCATCCCCAGCAGGCCCAGACTATAGCAACATGGCCACCAGCATGCCCATGGATTCACCTACGCTCCTACCGGGACCACAACCACAAAACTTTACCGACAATCAGGTAAGTACTCGATGACAGCTTGTTCCATTGCCTAGTTATTACTATCATTATATGCATCCATTACTATAAATCCTCAGCTTTTGCGAAACATGAAATAGGCTTTTACACCGGAAGTCAGGATTAGGGTTCACTGTTCACTGGGTTGGTGTAGAAAGACTGGGGTCGTGAGCAGAGACAAGGAAAAAATGGTCACCGCTATGTATGTGACCCCCTCATCGTTGTGTATGTGTTTGCATTTGTGATCCTCTTGGGGTCGAAGGCGTTAGGCTTTTGCTTCACGTTATTAGTATCTGGAACTCTTCTCCTCCTCCTCCTCCTCCTCCTCTCCTCCTCCTCCTCCTCCTCCTCCTCCTCCTCCTCCTCCTCCTCCTCCTCCTCCTCCTCCTCTCTCTCTCTCTCTCTCTCTCTCTCTCTCTCTCTCTTTCTCTCTCTCTCTCTCTCTCTCTCTCTCTCTCTCTCTCTCTCTCTCTCTTCTCTCTCTCCTCTCCTTCTCTCCTCTCTCCCTCTCTCCTCCTCTCCCTCCTCCTCCCCCTTCCTCCTCCATTGAGAGAGGGGGAGGAGAAAGGAGGAGGAGAGAGAGAGAGGGGAAGAAAGAGAGAAAGAAGGGAGGGAGAGAGAGGGGAAGAAAGAGAGAAAGAAGGGAGGGAGAGAGAGAGAGAGAGGAGGGAGGGGGAGAGAAAGAGAGAGAGGAGGAGGGGGAGAGAGAGAGAGGAGGAGGGGGGAGAGAGAGAGGGAGGAGGGGAGAGAGAGAGAGAGAGAGGAGGAGGGGGGCGAGAGAGAGAGAGAGAGGAGGAGGGGGGAGAGAGAGAGAGAGAGAGAGGGGAAGGGGGAGAGAGAGAGAGAGAGGAGGAAGGGGGAGAGAGAGAGAGAGGAGGAGGGGGGAGAGAGAGAGGAGGGGGAGAGGAGAGAGGAGGAGGGGGGAGAGAGAGAGAGGAGGGGAGAGAGAGAGAGAGGAGGAGGAGGGGGGGGAGAAGAGAGAGAGAGGAGGAGGGGGGGGGGGGGGGGAGAGAGAGAGAGAGAGAGGAGGGGGGGGGGGGAGAGAGAGAGAGAGAGAGAGAGGGAGGAGGGGGGGGAGAGAGAGAGAGAGGAGGAGGGGGGGAGAAGGGAGAGAAGAGGAAGAGAGAGAGGGAGAAGGGAGAAAAGAGAAAGAGAGAAGAGAGAGAGGGAAGGGAGAAGGGAGAGAAAGAGAGAGAGAGGGAGAGAAAGAGAGAGAGAGGGAGAGAAAGAGAGAGAGAGGGAGAGAAAGAGAAAGAGAGAGAGGGAGAGAAAGAGAGAGAGAGGGAGAGAAAGAGAGAGAGAGAGAGAGGGAGAAGGGAGAGAAAGAGAGAGAGAGAGGGAGAAGGGAGAGAAAGAGAGAGAGAGAGAGAGAGAGAAGGGAGAGAAAGAGAGAGAGAGAGAGGGAGAAGGGAGAGAAAGAGAGAGAGAGAAGGGAGAAGGGAGAGAAAGAGAGGGAGAAGGGAGAGAAAGAGAGGGAGAAGGGAGAGAAAGAGAGAGGGAGAAGGGAGAGAAGAGAGAGAGGGAGAAGGGAGAGAAAGAGAGAGGGAGAAGGGAGAGAAAGAGAGAGGGAGAAGGGAGAGAAAGAGAGAGGGAGAAGGGAGAGAAAGAAGAGGGAAGAGGGAGAGAAAGAGGAGGGAGAAGGGAGAGAAAGAGAGAGGGAGAAGGGAGAGAAAGAGAGAGGGAGAAGGGAGAGAAAGAGAGAGGGAGAAGGGAGAGAAAGAGAGAGGGAGAAGGAGAGGGAGAAGGGAG